GGCATGGAACGCCGTCAGCTCGCCCTCACATTCAGCTCGTCACTCACCAGCGGCAAGAGAGGCAGATAGAGAGTGTGAGTGGGAGAGTGAGAGAGAGGAGGGAGGGAGGCACAGTCCACGCACTTCCTGTCATCCAGATCGTCGTGGTGGTGCCTGAGCCACTCCACCATGGCATGGAACGCCGTCAGCTCGTCCCTCACATTCAGCTCGTCGCTCGCCAGCAGCGTCTGCACGCCCACGAGAGGCAGCTCCAAAAACTCCTCCCTTGTGCACCCGCTCCAGATCCCTAAAATGCGCCACCAGAAACCCCTGGAAGCTTCCAGCAGCTGCGCCACCCCCCGGTGCGAGTGCATGGAGTCGGGGAGCGAGAGGTAGAGGCAGGCGGTGGGACGGTCATGGGGAGGTTGACGAGGCGCTCGAGGCAGATCTTCATGCAGGAGGCGACCCCGAACTTGTCGGCCACCAGGTACATCTTGATAATATCTTCTGGATCCGTGCTGCCCTCCTGCATGTCGCCCGTGTAGATAAAGCGTAGGAGATCGATCACTGGGCCCTCCTCTGGTGGGAAACAACAGTAGAGAGAAAGAGAGAGAAAGAGAGAGAAATGGTGGGCAACGGGCGCATGGGAGAGGGGTACGAGGAGTATGAGTCTAGCTGGGGTCCGTGCTTCCGTCCTGCATGTCGCCTGTGTAGAGCAACCACAGGAGATCAGTCACTGCACCTCCTCTGTGCGCAACAGATGATGAGCGGGATGAAGAGTGGAGAGAGATGGGGTGGGTGGGGAGAGGTAAGCAGTGCGAGACTAGTTGACTATTGAGCCGACTCAAAGCCTCCTCTGCGGGCAATGGATGAAGAGAGGGATGAAGAGTGAGAGAGATGGGGTGGAGAGGGAGAGGGAAGCAGGGCGAGATTACCACAACAGGGTATGCAGTCTTTACTTGACGCATTAACCTCTGGTAACGCATCGCTGTTTGCAACGCGTTACCTTCTGGAGAAACATTGAGCACCCGGGGTTGTTCTGGCACGTCTCCTTGAAGCCGCAGGTGAAGAGCGTGTGAAGGATTGATCATAGCACCCTACAATTGGGGTAAACACATACCTTCTGGGACACGTTGAGCACCACGGGGTTGTTCTGCACGTCTCCTTGAAGCCGCAGGTGAAGAGTGTGCGGAAGAAAGCAGACTTGGCTGCCAGCACCACCGATGACAGATGCAGATTCACCACTCTGAACCCCCCACAACTCCCTATCGTCACACCGCCACCACCACCGCCGCCCAGAAACGCACTGGCCCAGATTTGCACCTCCACTGCCGTTTCCTCCCATGCCACACCCGCCACATGCGCCTGTCCCCAGCCCAGGCCCTCCCGATGGCTTTTGGCTTGACTCGAACGGTGAGAGCCCCGACCCCCCCAAACTGCCGAACCTGGGTGCTCTGCCCATTACTCCCCCGAACCCACCACCAACACCAGCAGCAACAGCATCAGCAGCAACAACAGCTGCAGCGGCAGCAGCGGCTGCAGCGGCAGCAGCAGTAGCAGCACCACCACCAGCACCGGCCGCAGGAGCAGCAGAAGTGGCAGCAGCACCAGCAGCAGCGGCAGCAGCAGCAGGAGGAGCAACAGCAGCGCCAGCAGCACCACTGCTGGTGGTGAAGGGCTCTGGGGTCGGCTGCCGAGGCTAGCTCCTCCTGCCGAGCCTCTTGTCAGAGCAGCCGCTTGGTCCGGTCCCAAACCTGCTGGCAGCGGTACGGCTGGTTAGTGCGCAATTGAAGGTAGGGAGCGGGTAGGGAGGGTTAGGGAGCAAAGAACCAGGAGAGAGGGAAGGAGAGGGGGGGGGCGGGGATGGGAGCAGGAAAGTGAACGGCTGCAAGAAACAAAAAGGAAAGGTAATAATGGATGACGACCTTTAACTGTTCACTAAACGCACCTGGACTATTCAGAGCAGCCAGAAACGACAACTCTCCGCTCGCTCCTCTACCCGCGCCGCCAACCAAAAACCTCCCCCCTGCGCCTCCCCGTTCCGCCTCCCCCCTTCCCCCTCCCCATCCGCGCCCGCGCCCCCCTCCGCCTTCCCCTCCCCCCTTCCACCGCCATATCCATCAAATCTAAGCAGTCGCTTCCGCCCCCCTCCCGCTCCATCCCCCCCGCACCTCCCCCGATAGAAGAACATCTCTTTCCTAGATTCCCGGCGGCAGACGCGGCGGCTACGGCGGCGGCGGCGGCGGAGGGGGAGAGGGGCTTCCGCCCGCCGCGGGATGGGGAGCCGCCGGAAGCTGCGCCGAAGCTTCCGCTGCTGCTGGAGCGGCGGGGGGTGTGGCTTCGTCAGGGCAAATCCGAAGCTGCACGATGCGATCTGCGGGGACCACAATCGAACAAATGGGCAATTGACACGAGGCATGGTTAGCTAGCCGGCGGTAGGAACGGTGGACGTTTTAAGGCTCCAGTGAACCCCGAATGCATCAACAAAAGACGAAAGGCACTTAATTCCGCGCGTCACATCCGTTACAATTGTAAAGCCGCGTCGCCTTTCAGCTGTTTAGGTTCCCAACCTTAACTGAGACTGAAAAAGGACGCTGGAACAACCCCACATGGAAACTGCTAGGCACGTCATCCCGCAATTAGGGTTACTGAGGGAATCGGTGGCTTCCGTTGGTATCGATGGCTCACACGCACGAGAGTCTTCGAAAGTGACCTATGTAACGCACACCCCATTCTAAGGCACTGTTCATGCTACTAGAGTAGAACACTGTTCATGCCGGCACCCTTCGCTCTGTTAAACTACCTGGGGATGTGACTGTACCTTCGGATGCGACTATAACGAACCGGCGAAATCGGCGTTGTTGAAGGCGAACCCGAAGTCGAAGCGCTTGGGGTCTTCGCCCATGTCGTCGCCATTCTCTCGCGAAGGCATCGCGACTGTCGCCACGGCCGTCGACGCCACGCCAGCTGCCTCGCACCCCGACATGGTTACACCTCGACCAACCCGCGAGCTATAACAGCAAGTACGGCAGAAATGAACAGGCTAATAGGCTATAACCGTACTTATGATACTAAAAGACTACCAATAGGCTACCAGAGACCCCGACTAATCTACCGTTCTCTTTTTTAATGAGGCTTAATTACCGGTGTAGCTCAGAGATGGATATTTAGCATCTACTATATACGACGTCGTAGGAGGAAGACGGATTTCATAATCATTCCCCTTTTGTAACAAAGAGGGAGGAGGGGTCTGTCAGAGACACACGGACCCTGATGGTGCTGCTAAGACGTCGGGTGAATTGAGCGACGCGGTCGTGGACTCGTGGAGTGGTTCTCCTGCTTTGTTGGTCTAGCGGCCTAGTTCCTACTGTGTCTTTCTCTGTGTTCCTACAAAAGCTGAACTCGGAAGTCAACCTTGTAAGTCACAACCGCTCATGCTAAGGGCGGGTCCAAATACTTCACAATCTATTTATTTCGAGAAAAGTAACCCGAGTTTTACCTCGCTTTTTTCGCCAGGACAGGTGCGCGAATTTACCGTAACTCGGGACGCTCGATGTATGTGAATGTACACACCCCAGTCAAGGCCCGTTTACGATACGAGTGACGGTAGGTGTACTTTGGCGGGTGACAGGTGTGGCGCTTTGGAGTTTCGCCAAGCCGGGCTGGGCGAGAACAAGACGACCTCGCGAACAGCTCGTGTGGCGCACGGCAAATCGCACCTGCCACCCAACCCAGCACGAACCATCCGATTGGTGAGTTGCGACATGTGGTAACTACGATTTGGGGTATCTGGAACGTACCGTTAATTTTGCGACACACCCAGTCGGCGCCAAGTTTCTATTTTCATTCGCAATATGGGACGCGGTTGGGGGGAGAAACGATTTTGAGACCGTATTCAGATTTCGTACCCGAGTTCGTAAAAACGTGTCAAAAAATCCCAATTGAACTATTTGGACCCGCCCTGAAGTTTTTTGGAACTCTGTTTCTACCGGATTCCCCACCACCCTGCACCCTGATTCGTCCGGATTTCAGGGTAGTTGGTTTCTGTTTCATGCGGATTCGAGTACAGGTCATATGCCTTGTAGACGACCCCCTTTTACGCCCAGGAGTATTCCATAGGCAATTTATCCTTAAAGCGAATGGTCAAAATACTGAAGGCGGGTCCAATTTGAAAGGGCCCATAAGTTCGTCGTAGCGACTAAGGGACAAACTGGTTGGGGCAGAGGGGTTCACTGTCGAGACATGCAAGCAGGGGAAACTGCGCGAGCATGAGCAGTTACTTGATTGGTTGGCGAGAAACCCCGTTTCGTTTGGTGGGAAAAGTGGCATGAGCAGCACTTGGCGCGAACAAACTCAAGTCGCAAATAGTGCGCGACCAGTCGCACAGTCCCCACTGCCCGAAAGTTGAACCAAGTGGGCCGAACTTGAATTTCAAGTTGGACCCGGGTGTCAAATGTAACTTAGGTTGTTACTGTAGACTATACTGGATTGTGCCTTAAAACCACAGGCTAAAATAGCAAAGGGGGGCTTCAAGTGCGCCCCCCTTGAACAGCGGGCATAGATAAACATTTTGAGAAACCAGCAAGTTGTTCTGAAAACGAATTTGATTCGGGGGGGCAGAAATGAACCGAGGCTGGCACACGACAACCACTTTTGTGCGAATGCGATACGTTATAAACCAGGCGCGCGACTCCTCAGCGACATCTTGTCGCATGTGTTCAGGGCTCTTACAAAAAGAGACAACTCACGAAACGCAATAAGGGAAAGGTGTCACATTTTGCAACTTCGGACTTAAGGAACACACGAGCTCCCACCACGCCGACACAATTGCAAGGAAACAAAGGCTGCGCACTCCCTCATCATACAAGGCCAGGGAACACGCCCCCGAACTCAGAAGAATAACCTTGCCTCCCTGCTCACACAAGAGGAAACAAATATCCCCAACTCTCGACCGACACAGTCCATTCACGGGTAGATTTCCCGCAACGGAACTACTCACCTGCCTTCCCTAGCCACAATCTTCAACCAGCTTTCGAAAGGGCGAGACTAACCCCGCCACCAATAGCAGTAACCGTCGAGTAACGCGATACCGAGTAAGGGAATGTAGCAACCACCTCTGCCCCATAGAAACGCCCCACCAAGAGTGCGAGAAACCCCCGACGAAAGTTGGGTATCCGTGAGAGAGTAAAGCCAATCACTGGCTGCACCACCAGTGGAGAACGCTAAGGAGCAACCCCCTCCCTCCTAGGCTTGGAAAGCATCTAGAGACGCACGCGTGACGGGGTCGAGCGCAGGTCCCCATTCGCCACAGCAGTAAACAGGCACGCCTTCCAGCGCGGAGTACGGGGGACGGATGGAGGCCGACGGGCGTGGCACGCGAGAGGAAGCGCGACCCAAAAGCACCCATCCTGGGCAGACAATGTAAGACACGGGGGTGGGAGGGGGGATGGGAGGGCAAAAGGGGCGAGGCCAAGGCTGAGTAATCAGAACATGAGCTAGTGTGAGGGCAAGGCTGCGCGAAAAAACTGGGAGAGGGAGGTACGCAGCGAAGGACCAGGGGGGGGGAGGTAGATACGAAGCGAGGGAGACGGGGAGGGAGGGAGGTATGCAGCGAAGGACCAGGGGGGAGGAGGGAGATACGAAGTGAGGGAGACGGGGAGGGAGGGAGGTATGCAGCGAAGGACCAGGGGGGAGGAGGGAGATACGAAGTGAGGGAGACAGGGAGGGAGGGAGGTATGCAGCGAAGGACCAGGGGGGAGGAGGGAGATACGAAGTGAGGGAGACGGGGAGGGAGGGAGGTATGCCACGAAGGACCAGGGGGGAGGGGGGAGATACGAAGTGAGGGAGACGGGGAGGGAGGGAGGTATGCAGCGAAGGACCAGGGGGGAGGAGGGAGATACGAAGTGAGGGAGACAGGGAGGGAGGGAGGTATGCAGCAAAGGACCAGGGGGGAGGAGGGAGATACGAAGTGAGGGAGACGGGGAGGGAGGGAGGTATGCCACGAAGGACCAGGGGGGAGGGGGGAGATACGAAGTGAGGGAGACGGGGAGGGAGGGAGGTATGCAGCGAAGGACCAGGGGGGAGGAGGGAGATACGAAGTGAGGGAGACGGGGAGGGAGGGAGGTTTGCAGCGAAGGACCAGGGGGAAGGAAAGAGATAGGGAGGGAGGGAGGTACGTAGCGAAGGACCAAGGGGGGGGAGGTAGATACGAAGCGAGGGAGACGGGGAGGGAGGGAGGTATGCAGCGAAGGACCAGGGGGAGGAGGGAGATACGAAGTGAGGGAGACGGGGAGGGAGGGAGGTATGCAGCGAAGGACCAGGGGGGAGGAGGGAGATATGAAGTGAGGGAGACGGGGAGGAGGGAGGTATGCAGCGAAGGACCAGGGGGGAGGAGGGAGATACGAAGTGAGGGAGACGGGGAGGGAGGGAGGTATGCAGCGAAGGACCAGGGGGGAGGAGGGAGATACGAAGTGAGGGAGACAGGGAGGGAGGGAGGTATGCAGCGAAGGACCAGGGGGGAGGAGGGAGATACGAAGTGAGGGAGACGGGGAGGGAGGGAGGTATGCCACGAAGGACCAGGGGGGAGGGGGGAGATACGAAGTGAGGGAGACGGGGAGGGAGGGAGGTATGCAGCGAAGGACCAGGGGGGAGGAGGGAGATACGAAGTGAGGGAGACAGGGAGGGAGGGAGGTATGCAGCGAAGGACCAGGGGGGAGGAGGGAGATACGAAGTGAGGGAGACGGGGAGGGAGGGAGGTATGCAGCGAAGGACCAGGGGGGAGGAGGGAGATACGAAGTGAGGGAGACGGGGAGGGAGGGAGGTATGCAGCGAAGGACCAGGGGGAGGAGGGAGATACGAAGTGAGGGAGACGGGGAGGGAGGGAGGTATGCCACGAAGGACCAGGGGGGAGGGGGGAGATACGAAGTGAGGGAGACGGGGAGGGAGGGAGGTATGCAGCGAAGGACCAGGGGGGAGGAGGGAGATACGAAGTGAGGGAGACAGGGAGGGAGGGAGGTATGCAGCAAAGGACCAGGGGGGAGGAGGGAGATACGAAGTGAGGGAGACGGGGAGGGAGGGAGGTATGCCACGAAGGACCAGGGGGGAGGGGGGAGATACGAAGTGAGGGAGACGGGGAGGGAGGGAGGTATGCAGCGAAGGACCAGGGGGGAGGAGGGAGATACGAAGTGAGGGAGACGGGGAGGGAGGGAGGTTTGCAGCGAAGGACCAGGGGGAAGGAAAGAGATAGGGAGGGAGGGAGGTACGCAGCGAAGGACCAAGGGGGGGGAGGTAGATACGAAGCGAGGGAGACGGGGAGGGAGGGAGGTATGCAGCGAAGGACCAGGGGGGAGGAGGGAGATACGAAGTGAGGGAGACGGGGAGGGAGGGAGGTATGCAGCGAAGGACCAGGGGGGAGGAGGGAGATATGAAGTGAGGGAGACGGGGAGGGAGGGAGGTATGCAGCGAAGGACCAGGGGGAGGAGGGAGATACGAAGTGAGGGAGACGGGGAGGGAGGGAGGTATGCAGCGAAGGACCAGGGGGGAGGAGGGAGATACGAAGTGAGGGAGACAGGGAGGGAGGGAGGTATGCAGCGAAGGACCAGGGGGGAGGAGGGAGATACGAAGTGAGGGAGACGGGGAGGGAGGGAGGTATGCCACGAAGGACCAGGGGGGAGGGGGGAGATACGAAGTGAGGGAGACGGGGAGGGAGGGAGGTATGCAGCGAAGGACCAGGGGGGAGGAGGGAGATACGAAGTGAGGGAGACAGGGAGGGAGGGAGGTATGCAGCAAAGGACCAGGGGGGAGGAGGGAGATACGAAGTGAGGGAGACGGGGAGGGAGGGAGGGAGTGTTGCCGCCATGCCGTCCACATTTCCCTGTCCCTTTTCTCCATGCCGTCCACATTTCCCTGTCCCTTTTCTCCATGCCGTCCACATTTCCCTGTCCCTTTTCTCCATGCCGTCCACATTTCCCTGTCCCTTTTCTCCATGCCGTCCACATTTCCCTGTCCCTTTTCTCCATGCCGTCCACATTTCCCTGTCCCTTTTCTCCATGCCGTCCACATTTCCCTGTCCCTTTCTCCATGCCGTCCACATTTCCCTGTCCCCTTTCTCCATGCCGTCCACATTTCCCTGTCCCCTTTCTCCATGCCGTCCACATTTCCCTGTCCCTTTTCTCCATGCCGTCCACATTTCCCCGTCCCTTTTCTCCATGCCGTCCACATTTCCCCGTCCCTTTTCTCCATGCCGTCCACATTTCCCCGTCCCTTTTCTCCATGCCGTCCACATTTCCCCGTCCCTTTTCTCCATGCCGTCCACATTTCCCCGTCCCTTTTCTCCATGCCGTCCACATTTCCCCGTCCCTTTTCTCCATGCCGTCCACATTTCC